TATATATATACGTACATTTTCTTTGGGCTTATGAGAGTATCTTGAATCCAAAAGAAGTATACGATTGAATACGCAGAGTGGGACCTATAGCTGTAATGCTGCCTATGTTACGGGGGAGGTTCTTCGTCGACGCCAGAAAAGTCGTTGGCCATTGAAATTGCCCATAACTGAGGCGATAGCTCGTTTGCTTAATATGCATATAAAGCACAGGAACTCATCCGTATGCGTGTCAAACAATAAGAAATATATATATAAATATATATATATATACGATAAAAAAATGTACATATATGTACATGTATATCCCTTTATATGACCGATATACACATACATATATGCCTTTTACACCTACTCGGGTGACTGGTGTAGTTGCTACAGCTGATGCCTTCTGGCTTGTAAAGCACTCGGTCAGTCCATGCAGGAATGCGTTGTTTCTCACTTGTATCGTACATGTCTGTTCCAAAATCGAACTTGTACGTTGGAGGGAAGGTTATCTCTTCTTCCTTGAATCCGTTAAACACCCGTCCCTTGGCCCTGTACATGGGAAGAATAGGAGACGCATGGATCTGCCGTACCACTCACAACAACACTGTGTGACGGACTCCCCTAGTAGGCAATAATCTATTTATAGAACGCGCGGCGAGTCTAAAAATAGAACCAGGAAAAGTCAATATCAGACCAACAATAGAAACAAACACTAAACTAAAAATAGATACAAATACTAGACTAATATTTATAACCAGACATGAGACTAAACGTAACACCCACAATCACCCCACTGACGCATGTGTGGGAGAGGTAGGCTGTGGGGTGACTATACGAGACCCTCTGTGTGGTCGAGTGGACTGCTGAGGAGGGCAGGTGCATTCTCAGAGTCACCCGTGTGGTTGTGGGTGAGAGGGGTACAGGCGCACACACACACACTATACAAACCAATTACAGCGAGGGAGCTAAGTCCGACAAGACTCGAAGTATTCCGCACAAAGACAGACATGCAAACACACTTCGGAGGAGTGATAGTAGAACTCATCAGAGATAGATCAACATAAACCAATAGAAGGGACAGACGGTAACCATCATATAAACACACAACACGACCGACACTGTCGGAGGATAGCAGATATATACACACAATGATGACATGTCATAAATAATGTGTATTTTATGAACAATAAATCACATGTAACTAAGGAATAATGTGTAAATAATCAACACTATGTAACTTATGAGTAATGAATCATATGCAAACAGAACTCAATGTGTGCCATATGAATATTATATCGTAAACAGAACTTCAAAGTGACAGTATCGCCACAAAGACATGTAAACCAATTGAGCACGATGACATATCATAAATAATGTCTACCTTATTAATAATAAAGCACATGCAAACAGAACTCAATCTGTACCTTATGAATAATGAATCATATGCAACATATGTATAACAATAATTATGTAATTTATGGACAATAAATCATACATAACTTATGAATGATAAATACTATGTCAACAGAACTCGATACTCTCCGCACCCCTTGATATATATATATATATATGTATATATATATGGCGTGGCATCTGTGTGTACACAAAACACAACACACCACGCACCTCTCCTTCATCAGCTGGTCGCTGCAGTACAGATCCGACCAATCAGATCCGTCGATCAGCGTGCGCGTCTTCTTATTGGACAGATCGATGCGGTAGTTGAGATCACCCATCCACACCACACGGTCGTAGTCGTGGATGGTTGTCTTGTCTAACGAGGCCGTCTCGTGCGGCACACTTGGGGCCAGGGGGGGTAGCACCAGCCGCCTTTGTATTTGGTCAAAGTCCTGGGGCATGTAGGCAGGCAGGTAGGTAGGTAGGGGGGGGTGTTAGTCTGTGTGTTCTATTTATAGATATCTCCCGGTAGTCTTGTTTGGATTTGAGCAGAGTGTTGAGAGATGTAAGATTGCGTATCGGTTTGCTAATTGATGGGTGTTTGATTGTTCTATATATAGATTTCTCCCCGGAACCTCTCCGTCGCATACTGATGTGTGGCTAGATGCCTATTTATAAACCGGAACAATAAGTCATATAACCTCTAAGCCCAAACCCCCCAAGAAAACCATAAACGTCAAAACTGTATATATAACCGCAGAATACCACGCTTCAATAATATACACTACTCCGAGTGGATCTACACCACAAACACACACACATATATACACACTAACACACACACACACACACACACACACAGACCACTACCCACTACCTACACCACAACACAACACACACACACATACACATACACGCACGCACGCACACACACACATACACACACACACACATAGACCATACCCATACCTACACCACAAACACACACAAACACAGAGACCACTCATTACTAACCACCCACACACCTGGTTCCGTCTCTCCACCATATCCTGATGGGCCGCCAAATGGCTATTAATAAACAGGAAGGACGTATCGTGTAATCTGAAGCGGACAGCCACCCCTCCCTTGTTACCCATCATATTCATCAGGCCCACCCCCACCCACGTGTCAGCTACATCGCGCACGTGCTCGGCCACGTGAGCTTTGACGTACACCATGATCAGACACCCCACCAATTGCTGGTGCCGTACTCGCACGTACCTGCAGGATGTGACGACGGATTACATTGTGGAAGGTGTGACTATGGGCGGAGAAAGGATGTAACGTATGTGGAGGTGTGTATGTCAGAGTGAACCACGTCCACGTGGGTATGATAGCTTGCACGTGCTTGAATGTTTCTACTTAGATACAACCTATAAACGCACTACAATATCACACCACACTTGATGACTGGCGGTATAATTACACATAACTGTAACACATGTACATACTCATACTATAAGCACGCTGCAGACAACCCCTGCA